CAGAGCAAACTGCATTTTTCAGTCATTAGTGGACCTTCCTGCTAAATGTAAAGCATACGCCACTATTGAGAAAATATCTCTTCCAAGGTACTAGAATGCCACAAGTAACTGAGCAACGAAATATTAATTTTACATGATATCCTATGTCTAACTATGTGCACTGTTACACCATTATATTTCTATGCAAATATCCTTAAAAAGCATGACATCCAAGTCCCTTTCAAGTTCACATGGACACACACATCTGGGACGGAGAATAGCAGGTTAATATTTACCACCTTAAATTGTGCGGAGAAAAGGATTGCAAAGTAGCCACCTTTGCAATCTTATCTCCGAAGGGGGGAACTGTAGCAGGAACCCCCCCACCCCAATCATTCTGTTTGTACAAACTACACACACACACAGACACTCACACACTACATACGCCACATTTCTGTTATAAATTCATAGAAAATCAACCATACATTGGATTTGCACTGTTCCATTTTTATTTTACTCCATATGACAAGAACTGGCAAAGGGGGGTGGTTTGACCCTGGTCAGCCAAAATCCCTTCACCGTCTCAGCACATCTGCAGGAGCCCTGCCCTGATGATCCCAGACAGAAGACAATCAAGACCACAAAGAACTTGCATATGGGAGTGGATTCAGCATGGACTGAAACAAAGGACAATGATCAGATCTTCCCTCAGGGGGCAGGAAACTGCAAACTCCCCTTTGTCTCCTGGAAGTAACTCATGGGGAGGGGGGAAAGGAGGAACCAGCCAGGTGACAAGATACTCAGGTTACCACCAACTCCTCCCTCAACCCCTCCTTTCTGTAATGTATGCATGATGTTTCTGGGGGTGGGCTTGACCTAGAGGAGGGGAATTTCAAAAGTTTTTATAAGACTTGGCACACTATTTTTCTGGGTCTTTCCTCTCACCTGCGAGTGAGGGGAGCACCCTGTCGCAACAGTCTTTCTTCAATAAAGACCAGGCCTACAGGCTGCTGATTTGCTTCAATTTGCTCTGGTTGGTGTTTTATTTTTGTCCAAGGGAGCCCTCAGATTTTTCCTGCAACACTCTCCAGGGCAATTTCCCCCAAGCAATCGGAGGCTGCGCCTTCCTGAGAGCCCACCTCTCCTCCGCCCTCTTCATGCCTCCCCTGGTTCTGGAAGACCAGGCCGGAGGGGAGCTTGTCACAGCAGCAGCAGGAGACAATTGTGTCTCTTCACCAGACTGATTCCTGACTGCCTCTTTTTTTAAAAAAAATATGCTTTTTATTAAGTTTTCATTTTAAATACACCAACACCAACAAACAAATATATCAAGTCTTTTTACATCTATCCTACTTTATGCTCCATAGAGCCATTGACTTCCCTCCTTCCCTTCCCCAGGTTTTCTTATTCCAATCCTTAATTCACAGTTTCATTAGTAAAAGACTAAACCATGACATGAGATTTATTTCAGTCCTGCTAACGTCTTCAGATTTCTACAGTTCTCACTTATATAGACCATAAATTTACTCCATTCTTTTTGGTACTTTGTTTCCCCCTGACTGCGAATCCTATGTGTCAGTTTTGCTAGTTCCACGTCCTCGACCAACTTTGTCTGCCACTCCTTTACAGTCGGTATCTCCTGTGTTTTCCACTTTGGGGCTATCAAAACTCTGGCAGCTGTCGTAGCACACAGATATAGTCTTTGGTCTGTCTTCTTAATATCCCCTCCTATCAAACCTAGCAGTAGTTCTTCGGGCTTTTTTGGAAAAGTGTATATATATATATATTATATATATATATAAACAGTATTTATAGGAACTCAAACACTGAGATCCTGCTCTGTTCCAGTAACAAGAAGCCGAAAGCACCAGCCTGAAGATGACGAGTGAGACCTCGTCGAAACGTCGCCTAGACACCCCAACTTTTACACGGGAAGACACCCGAGGACACCAAAACCTGCATTCCTGTACCCGTGAAAATCTACGAAAGCAAATATATATATATATATATATATTATTTTTATTTTATTCTTGAACATTACACTAAACAAACTTGACTTTTCTCTTTTTCTAAAGTGATGAGAGGATTCAGCTGCTGCTCTTCAAACTGAGCTTGTCAAACAGGTACTCCCCTGGGCCATTCTGGGGCAGTCCCAGGCGCCTCAGGTTCGTGAGGTGGTCTCCCAGCTGCTTGATGACCTTCACCTCTTCCTCGAGAAACTCAGACTCCAGGAAGTCACACAGATGAGGGTCTCCCTTCTCTGTTGCCAGCTTGTGCAGATCCAGCAAGGCCTGGTTCATCCTTTTCTCCAGCTGCAGGGCACCCAGGCTGTTGCCCCACTCGTCCTTCTCTGGCTTCTTGAGGTCCTTCAGCAAGATGCGCCCCCCTCTCTTGTTCTGGTATTTCAGGAACTTGTTTGCATGCTCCCACTTTTCTTCGGACTGCTTCTTCGGGAACTTGGCCATGTGACACAAGGCAACATCATCCCTGTCAAAGTGGTAGGACATAGACAGATAAACATAGCTAGCATTCAACTCCAGATTCACCAGCTGGTTCAAGGTAGCTTCACAGTCAGCATGGAAGTTCTGGCACACCTGAGAAGACATCTCTGTAGCATAGCAAAATAAACTGAGACCAAACAACACTACAAACCCTACACTGCTGCTGGTGTGGAAAAGTATATTTAAACATCTTTTTTTAATTCATTATAGATCAATTCCCAAAACTCTTTCATTTTAATCACATGTCCACCACATGTGGTAAAAATCACCTTCCTTTTCTTTACATTTCCAACAGATTTTACTACTCATCCTATAATTTTTGCTAGTTTGGTAGGAGTAAGATACCAGCGATAGACCATTTCCATTATATTCTCTTTTAAAGTAGAGCATGCAGTAAATTTTAAATTTTCATTCCAGAGTTTGATCCATGCATCATATTCTACATTATGCCCAAATCTATTGCCCATTTTGCCATAGCCTCTTTTATCAATTCATCTATTGTATTCCATTCTAATAAGAATTTATACATTTTCGAGAGTAATTTGGTCTTGCGATTCCTGTCTGCCTCTTGGCCCCTCTCCTCTCCTGCTTCCGCTTCTGCCTATTATTCTGGACTTCTCTCTGCCACCGACTCTCCCTGCTCACTAAGCCCTGTAGCCTCTTCACATTCCAACACTTCCTTCTCCCCCCAGTGTTCTCCCTCTGGTCCCTCATCGTTGTCCCACCACCCCTTCCTGGGATCGGAGCCTCCTTCCCTTGGGGGCTTCCCAGCTGGGTTCCTCCCATGGATCCAGCCAGTCCACCACCACCCCACCCACAAATAACAACAACAACAACAACAATAATAATAATAATAATAATAATATGTTTCAGATAACATTTCCTGCAATACCTTTTAAGGACAGGGTGGGTGGGCGAGCCACAGGCCTGCGGCAACTTTTGTTTTATCAAAACCCATTTTAAAATTATTATTAGGGGGTCTCTTCTAGCAAAAACTTCCAGAAATTGTCAGAATGCACGCAGAGTCTGGGGCATAGATCTCGAAATGCTTTGCTCCCATGTGAAGACTCCGTGTTACTATAAGACATCAATGATCTTGCTGGCATGTTCATCATAATTGGAGGACCCTGGAGGTTAGTTGTTTCATCCAAGATATGTCTCCCCAAAATATGTCCCGAGAATTGCAATGGCGTGTAAAAAGAAAGGAAGAAGAGGTCAGCCTCTGATCATCTTTTGGTGCAAATATCTGATTAACCCCCTCACCTTTAGCTCCCATAATAGCAGCGGTTTCTTGGATTATTCTTCCCTCTTGTTTTCTTTCCGTTCCGTGCATATCGTTGAAGCTTTAAAGGCCTCTAAATGGGTCTGAGATCAGATTAGAAGGCTATAATTGGCTTGGAAAGATCTCCCCCAGTGTTGCTTAACATGATTTGGATGTCTATTGTGAAAACAGAAGGGAGCCAGGAGCTGGTCCTGTAGCAACCACCAGTGGGAGAGGGGTGGCTGCTGCTGCTGAGGGTCTCCCCGTGGTCCACCTCCACACAGAATGGGAAGCAATGGCAGCAGGACACTGGATGACCTGCAGACGTTGGAGATTCACCACTGGTACAAGAAGTTCATGACGGAGTGTCCCTCTGGGCAGCTGACGGAGCATGAATTCAAGCATTTCTTTGGACTCCGAGGCCTGGACCCAGAGGCCAACCAATACATTGAGCAGATGTTCCACACCTTCGATATGAACAAGGTAGGCCAAGGCTGCTGGGCTCAGCTGCACCAGTTTTCCAAAGCCAATGAACTAGCTGTGGTGGCCACCAAAGCAACTCTGGAGGTAGCGGTGACATCTTAAGAATAGCAGAAGCAGCTCAAGGATACCCCCAGAACTGTGCAAGCGGTTCTTCATCCCCCCCCCCCCCGGAGCATACTTTGGAAACACCTTTCGGAATGGTGAAAGGAATGTAGCAGGTGCCGATTGGCTAGCTCCCGTAACATCACCAATACTTCCTTGCATTCGCTAGAGCAGTTTTGTCATTCATTTTTTAACAGTGAATTTGGTGAACGTAGGATGGTGGATGAGGTGTAAATGCCCACAAATGTTTTAAATTGCTTTTTATTTATCTTATTCTCATTTTGTGTGTTGTATGCCGCCTTTTTATACAAAAGTGTGGTCTAGAAATATCTCAACGTACAAGTAATAACAGATAGAGGTACGAGAATATGAGATAGCTCATATTCTGCATGGTAGGCAGGTTATAGCTAAGGGCTGATCCTCTGGCTGTATATATACCCGGCTCAGGAACACTTCGATCATAGGTCCTCCTCTGGGAAACTTGAATTCCACTTCTGACGCCAGTGTTGCACGCCACCCCAATCTCTTAGCAGTGTGACATTTTAAGGGTTTCAGGCGGTTTCCCCCAGGGTTTGTGTTTCTATTGGAATGAGGCACAGCAGAGACTGGTGTCTTTATGATGTATGGTTTATTTACATATATATTCAACCTCAGGCTACAATGGAGCATTAACACCCCAGAAGTGTCTTGTTTCTCCCATAGCCACAGCCTTGGGATTCAAACAGAAATAAAGCATTGCTTGCATGACTGCCAAGTCCAAAGAAATGTTTGAATTCATGCTCCATTAGTAAGACACAATCATGAACAACTTGTAGAAAGGGTGGATCTCCAATGTCTGAAAATTCAGATGGTGTGTAAAAAGAAGCAATGCAAGAAAGAAAGAAGAGGTCAGCCTCTGGTCAACTTTTGGTACAAATGTCTGATTAACCCCTTCACCTTTTCTGATTAAGCTCCCGTAATAGCAACCTTTTCCTGGATTATTCTTCCCCGTTCTTTCCATTCCCTCTTTGTATCATTGAAGCTTTAAAGGCCTCTAAATGGGTCTGAGATCAGATTAGAAGGCTATAATTGGCTTCGAAAGATCTCCCCCAGTGCTGCTTAACGTGATTTGGATGTCTATTGTGAAAACAGAAGGGAGCCAGGAGCCGGTCCTGTAGCAACCACCAGTGGGAGAGGGCGGCTGCTGCTGCTGAGGGTCTCCCTGTGGTCCACCTCCACGCAGAATGGGAAGCAATGGCAGCAGGACACTGGATGACCTGCAGACGTTGGAGATTCACCACTGGTACAAGAAGTTCATGACGGAGTGTCCCTCCGGGCAGCTGACGGAGCATGAATTCAAGCATTTCTTTGGACTCCGAGGCCTGGACCCAGAGGCCAACCAATACATTGAGCAGATGTTCCACACCTTCGATATGAACAAGGTAGGCCAAGGCTGCTGGGCTCAGCTGCACCAGTTTTCCAAAGCCAATGAACTAGCTGTGGTGGCCACCAAAGCAACTCTGGAGGTAGCGGTGACATTTTAAGAGTAGCAGAAGCAGCTCAAGGACACCCCCAGAACTGTGCAAGCGGTTCGTCATCCCCCCCCCCCCCCGAGCATACTTTGGAAACAACTTTTGGAATGGTGAAAAGAATGTAGCAGGCGCCGATTGGCTAGCTCCTGTAACATCACCAATACTTCCTTGCATTCGCTACAGCAGTTTTGTCTCTGATTTTTTAAACATTGGTGAATTTGGTCGGCATCATATGAGCGATGAGGTGTAGGTGCCATTGAACGTTTTTAATTGCTTTTTTATTTTTCCTATTGTAATTTTGTGTGCTGTATACCACCTTTTCATACTTTTAACGAAATGTGGCTATAGATATTTCATTACGCGAGTATAACAGATAGAGGTACAATGGCAAATAGATATAGATAACTCATCTTCTACGTGCTGATCCTCCGGTTGAATTTCTGTGTGCGTTACCTGTAACACAAGTTGCAAATTCCACCTCGCGCTATGGGTGAAAAAGAAAACCCAGCTATGAGCAATCAAAAATTAGTACCAAGCTCATGAACATAATTTAGCTGCTTTGGTTTCTTGTTTTGTTTTTAAGTGCTTTAAAAGCAAAATGCAGCAGAAAGGAACTTGGGGTGTTGTCACCCCAAATCCCTCCTCTGTAGAAAAATTAGGTCTGGGCGGAACAGCATGAGAGTCTTAGGAGAAAGTAAGAAGGAGGTGTGAATCTCATCTCAGCCTGGATGGGGCATCCATTGGGAGACTTGTGCAAATTTCCTTGAGCTTCCTGAAAAGAAGAGAAGAATAAAAGGCAAGGCAGGAAGACCCTGGTCTGTTCCTGCCCAGCTCTCTAACACACCCCTGTGGTCCACTGATTTGGTTAAAATGCACAGTGCAAGAATGAGGACTCCAGATCTCTGGGCAGCACAATCCGTAATGCCTAACCCAGCCTTCTCCAACTGGTGCCCTCCAGACTTGTTGGACTACAGCTCTTGCTGGCCCCTCACAACGGCTTAAAGCTCTCTGAGCTCGGCTCACAGGTCACAGGTGCCTGCTTTGGCTTCTGGAAATCTCCCCTGCGTGCGAACCACCCACCCAACCTCAGCTGTGTAAAGCTGTCCTACAAAGGCAGGCTGAAGGAACTGGATGTGTTCACCAGGGAACAAAGAGGATTAAACCGGAGGGGTGGGGGAGACAAGAGATGAGAAGACAGCAGGAGGCTGGAGTGCCTTCCCCTAGATGAGGGCTGGACATCGCAGGCTGCAACCATCTCCAGCGTCCTTGTGGAAAGAGAGAAATGGAGGAATTGGTCGAACTACTGATTTTATATGAATTTATAAAGCTAGGTATCTTCCCTGAGCTGTCAAGTCAAAAGGATACACCCAGGCATATATATCATTGTAACAACTTTAAAGATGTGCCCCCCTTCATCATTTCCATAACAGAATCTTACGAATTCCCTCCTCCTCTCCATGGATTCTTTAAATATCTATATCAACTGCATATTGTAGTTCATCCAAATTTCAGTTCTCCATCGTTTCCAAAGTCTTTGTAACATTGCAGGAGTTATTTAAAGCCTGCCAAAGAGGTCAAGTGTTTACAGTGTTCTTATAAATATCTGTATTTACCGTATCCCAATCTCAACTGAAGTTTCGATCTTTCTGATTTTCCATGTCAGTCTTGTCATCTCTGCATAATCCAGTAGCTACCAGATGAAGCTACTGGAAAGAGGGGGTATCTGAAGGAGACCTGAATCAGCTCCGTCCCAGAGCACATGCGCACACAGTCCAGAGGTGCATCTTCAATTCTGTGTGCTTTTGGCTGGGGAAGGCAGCAACCCTGACCTCTCCAATGTTCCAACTCAGGTGGTTAAAAAAGCAAGACTGCCTTTGCTTCATTTCTATCCCACCCTTTCTCCAAGGAGTTCAGTAGGGTGTACGCTATGCTTGCCACTTTCCTGTATATATAATAATAATAATAATATATATAATAATAATAATAATAATAATTTATTATTATTATTTGTTATTTATACCCCACCCATCTGGCTGGGGTTTCCCCAGCCACTCTGGGCAACTCCCAACAGAATATTAAAAACACAATAAAACATTAAACATTAAAAACTTCCCGAAAGAGGGCTGCCTTCAGGTGTCTTCTAAAAGTCAGGTAGTTGTTTATCTCCTTGACATCTGAACACTCTTCAACGTCAACCAGCCAGGTCACAATTTGCACCAGCCTCTTCTCTCCCTGCCTAGTTTTCTTATTTCTGCCCTCAATACTTCCTCTGCTTTTTCCCTGCTCCCCCTCCCCAGGATGGCCATATTGACTTCATGGAGTACGTGGCTGCCCTCAGCCTCATCCTGCGAGGAAAGATGGAGCAGAAGCTGCGCTGGTACTTCAAGCTCTACGATGTGGATGGAAACGGCTGCATTGACCGCAGTGAGCTGCTCAATATCATCCAGGTAACAGAGAATAGACGGGACGCGGGTGGCGCTGTGGGTAAAAGCCTCAGCGCCTAGGGCTTGCCGATCGAAAGGTCGGTGGTTCGAATCCCTGCGGCGGGGTGCGCTCCCGTTGCTCGGTCCCAGCGCCTGCCAACCTAGCAGTTCGAAAGCACCTCCGGGTGCAAGTAGATAAATAGGGACCGCATACCAGCGGGAAGGTAAACGGCGTTTCCGTGTGCTGCGCTGGCTCGCCAGATGCAGCTTTGTCACGCTGGCCACGTGACCCGGAAGTGTCTTCGGACAGCGCTGGCCCCCGGCCTCTTGAGTGAGATGGGCGCACAACCCCAGAGTCTGTCAAGACTGGCCCGTACGGGCAGGGGTACCTTTACCTTTTTAACAGAGAACTCTGTTTTCTTGCAAAGGGCGCCAGAGCTGATTTCTGGAGAGGGAGAAGCCAGAGTTTAGAATGTGTCTGCAGGTTAGCCACTTCCTCATCCCAGACGTTGGAGCGGCTAAGGAGGTGCCGCTCTGCACAGTCTCAGAGGCACACTCTTCTCACTGCCCCTTCACGTGCTCAAAGGCTAAAAACTCACATCCCCAAAGAGAGGCGGTTGAACCCAACCATAGTAGTTGCTGGTGAGCAGCGACGGGAGAGGGCTTTTAATTTGTAATTTATTTATAAAAATGTGCCATAAGAAAATACAGTGGTACCTCAGGTTAAGTACTTAATTCGTTCCGGAGGTCCGTACTTAACCTGAAACTGTTCTTAACCTGAAGCACCACTTTAGCTAATGGGGCCTCCTGCTACCGCCGGAGCACGATTTCTGTTCTCATCCTGAAGCAAAGTTCTTAACCCAAGGTACTATTTCTGGGTTAGTGGAGTCTGTAACCTGAAGCATCTGTAACCTGAAGCGTATGTAACCCGAGGTACCACTGTATATCAAAGCGGTTTACAGCAAGGCAAACAAAGCTATACAATAAGAACCACAAAAGAGCTAAAAACAGACATTGGTTAACCATTGTGGAAGGATGGTGTCTGGGTCTGAGTCTACGCTAATCTATTTTAAAAAAGCTAAGAAAAATACATTATATATACATTATATAGCTAGCTCTCAATTCAAGTTTACATTGACTGCTGTACAGCGCTGCCTGGTGTCACCTTTTTATATCGCAGTTATAATGTTATAACTCACAAGTATAGATTGGTCCTTTACTGCCTGCATAGGGTTCTGGCGGAATAGAAAAGTTTTCAGTAGGCACTTAAAAGTTGGCAAATAAGGCGCCTGCTGCATCTCCGGCGACAGAGAGTTCCACAGGACCGGGATGGTGAAACTAAAAATTGGGGCCTCACCCATACCTCCGGTTGTCCCGTGTCTAGAAATCACAGGTCCAAGCAGTTTTCCACTCGACCCATTTTCTCAGAGTAAACCTGCTCTTTGGTGCTAAATCAGGGCAAACGTCAGTCCAAAGAAAACCCAAAGTGCCGTTTGGTCCCATTGAACACTAAAGAGTGGTTTTCCCCAGGGGAAAGCAACGGGACAACAGAAAACGTTGGATGAGCCCTTGGTTTCTTGGAGAGCACATGGGGTGAGTTCTGCCCGTGATGGCTCTGCTTCACCTTCACAGTTGGAGGCAGCGGTGCTTTATAATGTCATTGGCTGGAAACCGCAAGAGGGGGAGAAAGTGCTCTTGGGTTCGAATCCTGCTTGTGCATTTCCCATTAGGGCATCTGGTTGGCCCCTGTGAGAACAGGAAGCTGGGCAATATGGACCCGTGGGCTCATCTAACGGGTGTTTCTTATGTTCTTACCATTGTTGTCAATGAGCCTTGACAGCTTGGAGAATGTTCCAGCGACACTCCTGCAAATTATCTTGGCAACTGAGCTGGGATATGGTGGTTCAAGCGACCCCAGAGCTCCCTAAGTTGTCCAAGGCATTGTAAATTCATACAAGAACTTTGAGGCTGGCTCCACTGTAAGTGGCCTTCAATCCTCCCTTGTTGGCTGCTTCTTGTTCATTTTGCTGGCCATTTTCCAAACCTTTTCCAACTCCACCCAGGGTTCCCCTTCACAGCCATGTCCTGATTTTTCATTTTTTCCCCTATTTTTATTTATCAAATTTGCACACTGCCCTATACCCGCAAAATAAAAGAAACAAACCCAAAATACATAATCAAAATGAGAACAACCCAATAACACCCCCTCCCACAACTCATTTTATTTTAATAAATTTATTTATTTGTATTTCAAGTTAACATTTTACAATCACAAACATACAACACACAACATAAAGACAAGGTTCCAGAGAACTTCCATCCTCCCCTTTGTGGCTCCTGTTATTTAATCATTTTCTCCTACATCTTTTATAATAATTCAAATCTTTTACATTATATCCAAAATTCACCATTAAACTACAAGTGTTAAAGAGGAACATTTTTGCCTGGCATCTAAAGGTGTATAATGAAGGCACCAGGCAAACCTCCCTGGGGAGAGCATTCCACAAACAGGGAGCCACTGCAGAGAAGGCCCCGTTCTCGTGTTGCCACCCTCCGGACCTCTCGTGGAGGAGTGACGTGAGAAAGGGCCTCAGAAGATGATATCAGGGTCCGGGTAGGTTCATATGGAACCCTATGCTTAGTTTGGAAACAAATGTTTTCTTTTGATCCCACATTGCTGGCAGAGCCTTCAAAAGCTCTCCTGACTCTTGTTTTCTTCCCCAACCTGTTAATATCTTACTGGTATATTTTACCTTGTAAGCGAGGGTTGAGCTTCTTCACATCCTCGCAGATTCCTTCAGGCAGGTATGTTGGGTCTGTGTGCCTTGCTCTGGCCCAACCCTTCCCCGTTCATCCAAGTTGGTGGCCATCAGGGCCTCCTGAGGCAGCAAGTTCCATAGTTTAACTATGCATGGCATGAATTTTCTATCAGTCCTGAATTTTCCAACATTCAGCTCCGTTGAATGCCCACAAGTTCTGGTGTAATGAGCGAAGGCGACAGCCATGGTTTTATTTAGGTGATTTCTATCCTAACCTTAGGGATGTGGGTGGCGTTGTGGGTTAAACCACTGAGCCTAGGACTTGCCGATCAGAAGGTCAGCAGTTCAAATCCCTGCGATGGGATGAGCTCCCGTTGCTCGGTCCCAGCTCCTGCCAACCTAGCAGTTCAAAAGCACATCAAAGTGCAAGTAGATAAATAGGTCCCACTCTGGCAGGAAGGTAAACCCCATTTCCATGCGCTGCTCTGCTTCGCCAGAAGCAGCTTAGTCATGCTGGCCACATGACCTGCAAGATGTACGCTGGCTCCCTCGGCCAATAAAGCAAGATGAGCGCCGCAACCCCAGAGTCGGTCACGACTGGACCTAATGGTCAGGGGTTCCTCTACCTTTTCCTTTATTCTAACCTTTGCACAAGACACAGGGAGGATTCCAAGAAGGCAAAACAAAACTAAGGCAAAATAGCCCACAAAATAGCATTGTTCCTAAAACACGCAGCAGAGCAACTCAAGCTGCTGTTGCAATTAACTAACGAGACATTTTGCTGGGGCAGGGGACATTCTCAACTCATTCTGGGTTTCTGTACATTAGCTGTTGCAATTGCTGATATTAAACAGCAATTGTAAGCAATGATTTTTATGCAGCAGTTGTTTATGAACTGAACCAACTAAGCGCCAAACTCTTCCGTTTCAGGCAATCCGTGCCATCAATGGCTGCGACCACGAGACGAGCGCAGAGGAATTCACCAACCGTGTCTTCAACAGGATTGATGTCAACGGCGACGGTGAGACCCCCCTCCCCCGAGACCCTCCCCGCTGGCTCTGAAGCCCTTCCCCAGGCCCACCCTGGTTCCGCAGTCCGTTGCGAACTTTGCTGCCTAGAACTCTGCAGGTTCCAAACTCTGGGCAAAAAAAAGCAGAGCTTGAACGCATTACACAGACACCCTCCCCCAACCCTGAACAGGGCCCTCCTCCCTTCACCACATGGGCCTCAGAATAGAAGGCAACCCTCTCACCTATCCCAAATCCAGCTGGCAGCGATGGGTGAACTACACATTATACACAAATGCCCATAACTGGGCCCTGAGAACATCTGGGGCTCTGTGGAGAGGGAAACTCTTTTTGGAAGAGAGATTAGCACTGAGGACAAGAGGCAGGAAGAAAAGGAGGAAGAGCCTGTTTTCATAGAGTCATAGTTGGAAGAGGCACCAAGGGTCATCTAGCCCAACCCCCTGAAGTGCAGGAATCACAACTTCTCTGCTCAGTACTTCTTTTTTCTTAAAGGTTTTGTTACATGCACTTGTTAGAGGATAAGAGTCTAAATCAGCTGGTGTCCTGCAACCCCCATAATCCCAGACCATAGATCATGCCAATCAGGGTTAGTGGAAGGTTTAATAAACTCATCCCCAATGCCTCCTACCCTATTAAAAAAAACAACATTATTCAGAATAGAGGTTTGCACAACCCACCGTGGAAAGTAAATAACACAATAAAATGCAAAACCGTAACAATTACTTGTACATTTACTCAAAATCCAATAAAAACTATTTAGTTTAATTTTCAACAGAATTGATGAACTTGAGCTAGCGATACCAGCTGTTCAAAGTCTGATAGTCATTTACAATTGCAGCACCCACTGCCTCCCAGGGGACTGTACTATCCAGCTTGGGAACCGCTAAGTTACTCCAAAACATCTTGAGGGCACCAGGTTGGGAATTCATCTTCTCTAGGTCCTTGTTTTGCTGTGAGGCTCAGATCACAGCGAACTAGTTTCTTGCTCTACTGGGTTTTGAAAATGCTGAGCCGTATTTTAACCAGTAACCCACGTTTTCTCGGTTGAGTTCTGGCTAAAGTTCAGTTGACAGGACAGGGTGACAAGGCAGTACCACCTAAACAACTCCTGGCTGGGAGTTCAGGGGATCTGACTCAAAGCGTAGCTTGCTAGGCCAAAGTGAAGACTTTGCAAGCAGGCTCCTCCACCAGCCTTGCAAATTCGGAGCTCGCAGGAGCATCCCTGAAAAGGTCATGCAGCAAAACAAAGATAACCCTCCCTGATCCAGAGCTTTGCAGAGTAGAGTTGCAAGGAAGAAGAAGAAGAAGAGTTTGGATTTGATATCCCGCCTTTCACTCCCTTTAAGGAGTCTCAAAGCGGCTACCATTCTCCTTTCCCTTCCCCAACAAACACTCTGTGAGGTGAGTGGGGCTGAGAGGCTTCAAAGAAGTGTGACTGGCCCAAGGTCACCCAGCAGCTGCAGGTGGAGGAGCGGAGACGCGAACCCGGTTCACCAGATTACGTGACTACCGCTCTTAACCACTACACCACACTGGCTCTCAGAATGACGCATAGTTACTTTACTGAGTTTGCTGCAACCTGATCTGGAAGGGCTGTGGCTCAGCGAGTAGAGCACTCGCTTTGCATGTAGAAGGTCCCAGATACTTGAAAACAAAGGAAGAGCCTACTGGATCAGGCCAATGGCCCACCAACTCCAGCATCCTGTTCTCACAGTGGCCAAGACGCCTGAGTGGGGAACCCGCAAGCAGGATTGGAGCACAAGAGCCCTCTCCCTTCCTGGGATTTCCAGCAACTGGTACAGTGGTCCCTTGGTTCTCAAACTTAATCCGTTCTGGAAGTCCGTTCCAAAACCAAAGCATTCCAAAACCAAGGCGCGCTTTCCCATGGAAAGTAATGCAAAACGGATTAATCCATTCCAGACTTCTAAAAACAACCCCTAAAACATGAATTTAACATGAATTTTACTATCTAACAATTATGAGACCACTGATCCATAAAATGAAAGCAATAATCAATGGATTGTAAAGGTAATGGGACCCCTGACCATTAGGTCCAGTCGCAAACGACTCTGGGGTTGTGGCACTCATCTCACTCTATAGGCCGAGAGAGCCGGCATACAGCTTCCGGGTCATGTGGCCAGCCTGACTAAGCCGCTTCTGGCGAACCAGGGCAGCGCACGGAAACGCCGTTTACCTTCCCGCCGGAGTGGTACCTATTTATCTACTTGCACTTTGACATGCTTTCGAACTGCTCAATGTATTGTACTATAAAATAAATAAGACAGTATTGTAGATGATAAAAAATTAATTTTTTTTCTTGCCTGCACTGATGATAGTCATTGTTTGGATGGAGGGCTTTTATCCATTTCTGCACAATCAATTTCACACAATTTCACACAATCAATCAATCAGTAGCTGAACTGGGATCCACACAGTCACAAAAACAAATTAATCGAAAAGCCTCAAAAACAAAAACGCAAATTAAATAGCAAAAACAAAAGCGTCAAACGTAATCCATTCCAGAAGTCCGTTTGACTTCCAAAATGTTTGAAAACCAAGGCGCAGCTTCTGATTGGTGCAGGCACCCCGGAAACAATAGCCGACAGCCGCATTGGACTCTCGGCTTCCGAAAAACGTTTGAAAACTGGAACACTTACTTCCAGGTTTTTGGCGTTTGAGTACCAAGGTGTTTGAGAACCAAGGCCCCACTGTATTCAGAAGCATTTTAGAGGCAAAGCCTAGCCATCGATAGCCCTCTCCTCCACGGATTTATCTCATCCTCTTTTAAATCCATGTTGATTGGTGGACATCCCTGACTGTTGTGGGAACAAGTTCCATAGTTTTATCTCTCCTCCCAGAAAAAATGAAAATGGACTGGAGGGGGAAGCCCGTTTTCTCCTTCTCTCACTGTCTCCTGTTTCTCTGCCCCTCAGGTGAGCTCTCTCTGGAGGAGTTCGTCGAAGGCGCGAGGAAAGACGAGGAGTTCATGGAGGTGATGATGAAGAGCCTGGACTTGGATCATATCGTGTCCATGATCAACAGCCGGCGGCGAAACAGCGTCTAGCGGCTGGGCAGGAATGCAGGGGGGGGGAGTGAGCTTCCTCAGGTGTTGGAAGCAGCAGAGAATACCTGGAGGAGGAGGAGGAGGAATCCCGGAGGGTAGATGCGTTTGGTGGAATGGGAGCAAGGTGCATTTGCAGAACAAGCAAAAGAGCATGACCTGAATGGATAAGTGGTCCACAGGCCATTTTCTCCCCGTTCATTTGCTCTCCTGACTGCCTAGACGTGGGAGGTTAAGCCAGTCTGTTCTCAGAACCGCAGGCTGGGTGTGGGACCTCCTAGTTTTACGAATGCAGCACACTCTGTATGGACTACTAGGGTATCCCATGCGTGGAAGAGTAGCTTTTAGATATCTTCAGGGAAGAAGTAGGAGGTTTCTAGGCAGCCACGCTTCTCCTTTTCTCAAGACTCTCGCAGTTAGGTTAGTTGCTGGAGCAGGTCACGATGGGGCTCTTGATGCACAGTGAGTGAAGCCACCTCTGCCAGCACAAACACACCTGTCTGTGCATGTCCACCTCCCTTGGCCACTGGCTGCGAAGGATCACCTTTGCGGTGCCTGCGGGCTCCTTTCCAGGAGGATGAGCCAACCAGAAAGGAGATGAGGCTGCCTCAAGCAGTGAATATGGGGGGGGGGCATTCAGGGTGCCAAGTTGAGCCGTGGGCCTAGTCCAGGAGTCCCCTGGCACAAGCCTGGGAGATGCCCAGGAGTCCAGAATGAATTGGGCCCTCTTAGTGGGAGTGGGAGAAAAGCAATGACAAACCTAGACAGCATCTTAAAAAGCAGAGACATCACCTTGCCAACAAAGGTCCGTATAGTTCAAGCTATGGTTTTCCCAGTAGTGATGTACGGAAGTGAGACCTGAACCATAAAGAAGGCTGATCACCGAAGAATGGATGCTTTTGAATTCTGGTGCTGGAGGAGACTCTTGAGAGTCCCATGGACTGCAAGAAGATCAAACCTCTCCATTCTGAAGGAAATCAGCCCTGAGTGCTCACTGGAAGGACAGATCATGAAGCTGAGGCTCCAATACTTTGGCCACCTCATGAGAAGAGAAGACTCCCTGGAAAAGACCCTGATGCTGGGAAAGATGGAGGGCACAAGGAGAAGGGGACAACAGAGGACGAGATGGTGGGACAGTGTTCTCGAAGCTACCAGCATGAGTTTGACCAAACTGCGGGAGGCAGTGGGAGACAGGAGTGCCTGGCGTGCTCTGGTCAATGGGGTCACCAAGAGTCGAACACGACTAAACGACTAAACAACAACAGGGGAGTGACTGCCGATTTGGATTGGGGCCCCAGCCTAGCCCTGTATCCACAAGAGGGACAGGAGATTCTTCCCACAAAAGGTGAGGGGCTGCCGCCCCGCCTGACTCCTTGGTTCCCTTTCTTTTGCGCCAGAAGCTTGGAGTGCTGGCTGGCTCCGGCGCTGGAGCCCGAAGGTGCTCCCCAAAGCCTTTCCAAGGAAAGGGGGAAGGAGAACATTGTAAATAGGAGGCCAGGCTCTTGCAATATTTGGCGCTCTTTCTTTGTACAGTTTGCAATTAAAAGGAGAGAAATCCGAGGGTTGCTTGTTTTTTATTCCCGTCAGCAAATGGCTCGTTTGAATGGTGTCTTCTTAACCAACTGGCCATTGGCAAAAGAACAAGGGACACGGAGGCTGCAGGGGGACATTAGGAAGCAGGAGAGGGAGGAGAGAGGAAAGACCGGCTATCTTTCCCCAGCTGAATCCTTTAGAGGAGATCTAAGATTGACGGCAGGAGCAGGGACTGAGCAACAGGAGCTCACCCTGTTGCGGGGATTTGAACTGCCAACCTGCTGATCAGCAAGCCCTAGGCTCTGTGGTTTATCCCGCAGCGCCACCCATGTCCCAACCTAGCAGTTCGAAAGCACGTCAAAGTGCAAGTAGATAAATAGGTACTGCTTCGGCGGGAAGGTAAACGGCATTTCTGTGTGCTGCTCTGGTTTGCTGGAAGCAGCTTAGTCCTGCTGGCCACGTGACCAGGAAGCTGTACGCCGGCTCCCTCGGCCAATAAAGTGAAATGAGCGCCGCAACCCTGAGGCTTTCACAAAGTAAAGGAAGGATTGAACTCTGATTAATAAGTATACACACAGAGGCTTGAACCAGCAAGACCCTGGGAAGGGTGCCTCCAGACCCTGGCCCAGGTCGTTTTATTCACAAAAGAGCTTTTTACAGAGTGTTCGTAAGAACCAATCAGATTTCTTCTGAGCATTTCAACAAACCCACTGGGGACAAAGTTAAACTACTAAAACTAATTAAGCACGGGGTAAACAAAGAACAGAACTACAAAGGAGTACATTTGGCAACCCTGGAGGTGATAACAAACAATATACATGATAAGGAGGATGGCCAGGAGGACAGCGATCATTATCACCTTCATGTGAGATCTGTTTCCTGGCCCTAAGATTAACATCCTAAGATTAACATATCAGAAAAGCTACATCAAAAGAAACTGCCCACTGTCTTTGATGACCCAGAATGCCTGCCTGTCTAAGCTACTGGGCTGTATACGTGACTTGTGAAGAGAGAGAAATGGAACAGGGATGCAGAGGTGTAGATTGATCAAGAATCATATCAAAATAGTGTAAACCCAGTCAACGCAATGCTTTCATTGCTGGCACAGATGGCTTACTCTATATTTGTTATAATTCCTCATAGCAGTCCCACCTGATCACTACACAACCCCAGAGTCGTCCGCGACTGGACCTAATGGTCAGGGGTCCCTTTACCTTTACCTTAAGATCGATGGCAAACACAGCATCAAAACAGTGTTCGCCAGACTTTTCTCTCTGGCTGGGTAAGCTCAGCTTCTCCCCATACTTCCCTGTATAATTGGCAACCTGCAATGCCAACCCTTGGTTCAGCTGGCTGTCTTCAGTCTGGCGGGCCTTGGATAAATATTGTTATGTGCCACCCCAATCTCTGAGCAGGGAGAGACCCCAGGGGTTCCAGGCACTTACCCAGGTTTGGTTTCCTAGGAATGGAGGTCAGTGGAGACTGTTTAGGATGTATGGTTTTATTTACACATGTATGCAATCTGCAAATAAGATGGAGGGGCTCACAGCATTAAAGCCCCTCCCCCGATCTTCCTTCTCCATTAGTAGCAGCCTTGGATCCAGCAGAGAGTAAGAAGGTCTCTGTGTCTCCAGCTTCCAGTCTGCTCTCAACTTCCTCTCACTGGCTATTGTTCTTCTACCTAGCAGCTAGGTAAAGTGGGAAAAGACCCACCCGTTTGTCCTATGGCCCAGAGCAGGGATCAGCGACCCATGGCCTGCAAGTGGCCGACGATGGCAGTTTAACTGGCCCCCGAGCCACCCCCGAACTGGCCCCCGAGCCACCCGCTCAGTGAGTCCCCACGTGCTGCGCTAAACCGGCATGGTGTGGCATGTGGACTCGCTTCCGCTGTGCCTGAAATCGCGTCTGTGCATGCCCAGATGCCGGAAATCGCACGCGCGATCCAGCTCATGGAGAGATCTCCACGGGACTTGACCGGCCCAGACAGGTAAAACCTTGCCCACCCCAGAGCAACTTCAGGTACCCCTACAGATAGAGGAGCCCAAGAATTTGAATGGACTTAGGGCATCATCCAGGCTGGCCCCTCGCCCCCCAAAAAACCAAACTCATAACAATATTAAGGATTCCATTTGTGTTCAAATGTCCATGTTGCAAAACTTGGGCAGGAGGTTCATGACTGCACAGGTGCTGGACAAGCAGTGCTGTGCACAACTGGCTGCTGTAAATTCACACATCCAGCTTTCCCGGAGCTGAATGTGGAAGAGCAAATGGTTCATTTTAACAGAACGCAGCGAGTGTGATGCCTAGGCAGCTAGTCAGACGGGCGGACTTGGCCTAGTAAGCCGCCTGGATGTGAAACTGCTTTGGATTCCAGCTGCAGAGTGTTCTGAGATGCTTGGAGGAGGGACAGAATTATCCAGGGAGCTGAATGACGCCATGAAGCTGGAGAACATCTAGGAGGACCTCTCCATTGGCTCTGCCAGAGTTCCTCAGGCTGCTCCCTAAATTGTAATATTCATGAAGGGGCCAGGCAAAATTTTTCTTCCTCTCCTATTCAAGCTGCTTTAAATTAAAATAAAATAAGTAATGTGATAGGGAAGAGAGAATGTTGTGAATGTGTAGTTAAGCTATGGAATTTGCTCCCACAGGAGGCAATGGAGGCCATCAACAAAGACGGTTTTAAAGAAGGATTCGACAAATTCACAGAGAGGACTATCAATGGCAACTAGACACAATGACTAGGCTCTGTTTCCACTTGTTGGGGAAAGCAATGCTTCTGAATCCCAGTTGCTGGAGACCCCAGGAGGCATGAGTGCTCTTGTGCTCAAATTCAGCTTACTGGGGCATCTGGTCAGCCACTGTGAGACCAGGAGGCTGGACTAGATGGTTCATTGGCCAGATGCAACAGGCTCTTCCTATGTTCTTAAGTGTTGGGGAGCCACCAAGATGGAAATCTGGGGATCCAAGTCTCCCATTGCCTTGCTTTGCTTTCCTAGCTTCATACCTACACTAAATAAGAAGAAGAAGAACTTTTATTTATACACTGCCCTCCCCAGCCAGAGCCAGGCTCAGGGTGGCTAACACCAATAAAATCACAGTAAAAACATAATGGGGGGAAAGAGAGAGGAGGGAGAAAAGAAAAGAAAAACCAATTTAAAATACAAGTTAAAATGCAATTTAAAATGCAGCCTCCTTTTAAAGTAGCTGATAAATCAAGACCATAAGGGGAGGGAAACATAAGGGTCAGACTGAGTCCAAACCAAAGGCCAGGTGGAACAGCTTTGTCTTGCAGGAAAGATGTCAAGTCCCGCAGGGCCCTAGTCTCTTGTGACAGAGCGTTCCACCACGTTGGGGCCAGTACTGAAAAGGCCCTGGCCCTAGTTGAAACCAATCGAACCTTCTTGAGGCTTAGGACCTCCAAAGTGTTGTCATTTGTGGACCTTAAAGTCCTCCGTGGGACATACCAGGTGAGGCGGCCCCGTAGGTACGTGGGTCCTAGGCCGTGTAGGGCTTTAAAGGTCAAAACCAGCACCTTAAACCTGACCCTGTACTCCACCGGGAGCCAGTGCAGTTGGTAAAGCAACTGGGTAAAGAGGCTGGGCAGGAGCCCCCCCCTCTCTCTGCCACCCCACGACCCCTTTGCCCCGGATGCTACTTGGCAAAGGAATGTTAGTGCTCTAGCAAAGCATCCCAGTGATTTTCCACTGGTAAAAGATGCAGGGCCGGCACACCCAAACCTCACATCACAGTGCCATTACATCAATCTATGAATCTGCATATTATTTCAAAGCCGTCCAAGTTGCGGACACTCTCATTGCCGCCTGTGACTTCCATCGTTTAACTACTGGTATGTGCTGCGTGAAGATAGACTTTCTTTTCCTGAATCTTCCAAAATTCAGCTTCGTTGGATGCTAACGAGCGCTAGAAGAAGGAAAGCCTTTCTTGAGTCCAGCCGTCTATCATGTTGACTCTCCCTCGCCTTTTCTCTAAACTAAAAGGTTGCAGACATCGCGGTGGGAATGTTCAGGGAGGCAGGAGAGGATGTATTGTTTATTAACATCCTTCCTAACTTGCGCTAGCAAGTTCTATAACTTAGCAGAGTTTTACATTCTTTCCAATGCACAGCAGATAACCGGTTGCAGGCTTGTGTAAGCCTCTCAATATCAGATGCCTGGTAAGTCTCCTCTTAAAAGAATAAACACTCCACAATCTTGTGTAAGGTATAAAAAACAACTTTACTCACATCATCACT